AGTACTTGAAAATAAGGAGCGCCTGTATGAAAGAAAGTAGAGGGGAGATGTGGAGGATCAGGACTGAGCAAAGTGTTGGTACAACAACTGCCATGCAGAAGAAAACAAATGTACAAAATACAGCACGTGTAGCTGGTAGCCTGTGTGGAATCTGCAGAGAAACAGCAAATGAACTGCCTTGTGCTTTGGCAATTAGGGTTTCTACAGGCCATGGAAAGCCAAGAAAGTTTAAGAGAATCAGGTATGTCTGATAGCATTTAGTGTTAGCTTTGCAGTCCCTTTGCTGATAAGCTAAACTTTGTAACACAGTACAAATAGTACAAGAAAAAGTGTATTGAGCTGCTCTCCCTTCCATCAGCCACATCCCAAGACTCCCAAGAGAGCTCGGTCTGGATAGGAGAGAGAGAGCATGGAGCCAGGCTATATGAAATCCTATAGGATAGTGAAAACTGAGCAATAAGTGGTCATTAAAATAGATATTAAGAGGCAACCATCTACGTGTTGGGCTACATAACAAGTTCTTAGTGAGTGAAGGGAAACAGTAGCTCTGGAATGTTAACCCTGGAGAAAAGCTTCACATAAGGGTTTCACAAAGCCCAAGCTGAAACATGAATTCCCTTTGCCTATAGGGCTATGGGAACTGCAGTAGCAGACTGCAGATGCGGGTGAAAACAGTCCCACTTGAGTAGTAGGAAAGTGTTGGTAAGCATGAGCTCTGCCTATCTGTGGAACAGATCTGGGGGGAAATAGCAGAAAAATCCCCATGCTTTAGTCATTTAAAGCACACAAGGCAAACGCGTTGCCTCTGCGGAAAACCCGCATAGGCAATGCTGATGCTACAGCTCCGGCTGAAACAAATGCTGGCACCTTCCAAATAACACAGTGTGTGTAAAAATGCTGAGTGATCCCCGCAGGTCAAGTATTAACACATGTTGATGACTTTAGCTGGTCACAGAGACACTGGAGTGCCAGCACACTGATACCGGAGAAGGGACGTGGTCGTTACCTGTTCTACTGACCAAAAGTGGTGTAACCATACATGTGCCCCCCCACACCTTTCATGCATGGGTAGGTCTCTATGTATGTACCTACATTTAATCTTCACCCATAAAAGCAATTGGAAAATGAAATTAATGAGTTTAACACAAATACTGACTTAGAAATCGGCAAAACCATCTGAATTGTGGGGAAGTTTTTCCCTGTAAGCAGTTTGCTGCTGCCGGGACATGAGAGAAGCCCTACAGTCCTGGGTTGGTGTCCCCACTGGTGTTACACACGCCGCTGAACAACACACTCCAAGGTTTTCCTGATTTTTACTCCCCCCCCCCCCCGACTTTGAAAACCACGTAGCTTGGCAGCAGAGAGCAGGAATACTTCATGGTCCCATGATTTCAGCCGTGGAATGTAAAGAGTTGATACACAGGACACACAGAACTCAGCACTGAGCTAGTGTAAGCCATTACTGTTCCATTACAATCACACATGGCAACTCACACGAGCCGAAAAACTATCCCTGGGAATCTCACTAATTACAATTGTCAAACCACATCATTTAAAAGAAGGTTGCAGAGTCTCTTACCCCTGAACACAGAGGATCATGTCACTCCTGGACCAAGGGAAAAGCATTAAGTCTTCAAGGTGGTGGGAAATGCTTTCTCCTCTTCTCTCTTTTTGTCTCCTTTTTCTTTGCTTCCTTGCCGGAGCAAGCTAGTCCCAGCCTCTGGTTAGGGGCTCACAGTCAGAGAAGGCTGGAGAGCCCCAGCAAACGCCTTCCACTGAAGACACAGAAAAAGCCAAGCCGAAAGCGAATCGGGCTGTCCGAGAGGCTTCACAGCGCGTTCAGCAACTTCAGCCGGGAAGATGCGTTCCCTCTCGCTCTGTGCTTCAGAAAATGAAGTGTTCTTGTTCTGCTTTCCACAGAAAGACAACAACAACAAAAAAGTTTAAAAAAATACCCAGAGAAAAGGGAAATTACATGTGTGTAAAGCGGAACTAATCTTCCTTCAGAGCAATCCGGGAGAAAAAAGCATCCAGAGCGCTCTGAAATAGCAATAAATAGGTAGCAATAAATAAGGGTGCAGGGGGAGGAGAGCGGGAGCGCAGCGCCCTGCGTTGGCCCTGTCTGCCCCAGTGGAGAGGCTCGGCGGGGAGAAAAAGAGAAGGAGCCTCCTGGCTAATCTTTTGTGTGCCCCTTTTAATCTGTTCCAGGAAGCGAGGGGTTCCTGGAATCGCATTGTGTTCACATCACGCTGCCGGTGTCAGCCACGCGGGAAGCGGAGGGAGGGGAAGCAGAGAGTATAAATAGCGGTGTCCGTAACGGCCGCGGTGGGGCAGGGCAGGGCAGGGCGAGCTGCGGCCGTGCGGGACCGGGACCGGGACCCGGACCCGGACCGGGAGCGGGACCGGCGCCGCCGCGCGTGTTCGCGGAAACGCCTTTGATCCGTTTCCAAGAACTTTCCAGGAACGCGGGGCCGCCGCGGCGGGCTCTGCCAATGGGCGCCGCCGCCGCCGCCCGTCCGCCAATGAGCGCCGCCGCCGCCGCCCGCCCGCCAATGAGCGCCGCCGCTGTCTTCCCCGCCCGCCAATGGGCGGCGCCGCGCCTCCCGCCCACCGCATGCGCGGGAGCGCCGGGGTGGAGTGCCGTGGGGTGCGGCGGGTCCCGGCTTGGGCATCCGCTGTGTGTGCGCGGCCGTCGGCACGCCGAGCTCCCCGCAGTCCCCTTGCTCACACGCGTTTGTTTTTACCCCTCCCATGCGGGTTAACGCGTTTGTGCTGTTTCTGGGCTCATTGTCATTTTGTTCTGCCTGTTTCAGCACCCTCCCCGCGTGGCAGCATCCTCCCGCACCCGCAGCGCCTCCCTGGGTCATGGGAACGTTTGCGCAGTTGGGTGCTGAGGGAGGTGGTGGCTGTGGGGCTGAGAGCAGGGTCTGAGCCCCCCCTCCGGTAAGCAAGGGAGGTTGTCACACTGCGCACGGCGCTTTCATGCCTTGGTCATCCGGGAATCCCCTGTGGATTTGGATTTCAGACTCCTGGGAAAGGTTCGACCACCCCCACCAGTTTGTCCTGCGTTCATAGGTCATTGTCAAGTTAGAGCTGGGTAACCCAAGGGGAAGAATTTCAGTTGCTTATAGCCTTGTTGAGCCTCTCCAAATGCTTTATAACAGAAGCGTGATTGTTCTTTCCCTGCCATGGGGTGCCACCTCTTCACGTAGCAGGGAGCAGAGAGAGTGTGAGAGTGGAGTGCCTGTGACCTCCACTGAAGTAGATTGAATATTTAGAAATAGTAGTCATTGTGCTGTTCAGAACCAAAGTGGATGGGGTGGGAACAGAGGGGAAGGTGATGGCAAGCATAAGTGTCAGAGGATGCTCTCACAGGCCTGAGAGCAGGAAGCCTAAGTTCAGCTCCTTACTCAGCCTTTGGCTCCTGCTGTTTCCTTTAGCTGCTGTTTAGCCTTCTGCATGCTTCCATCTCTGTTCTTTACTACATCAGGGGCAGTGCTGTAACAAGGACTACTGCCAGTACCGAGCTGTACAAAGAGAGGTGCTGAGGGCCCTCTAAGAGCTGTCCAGTGGGATGGGAATGTCATCAAGCATGCCCCCCCCCCCACCAGTTTGCGTCTCAGCCTGAGGCTGACTTCAGCTCATGCTTCATCTGGATATGGGTAAATTCACAGGAGAGGTGAGGAGCTGGCAGAGGAATTTCAGTCCTCACCTGCCCTATGCAAGCACAACAGTCAAAAGATCGTTCAAAGGCGTAGTCCTGGCTCAGGGTTGCAGGGGGATGCCTGCATGGCGGTGCTCCTTCCTGTCTCAGTTCAGAGGGATTTAAAACCTTGTATTGGTGGTGCAGCAGCACAATGGATGTGAACAGAGCTATCTAGCCTAGAGAGTAGGAAGTGGGTGCTGCCTCCCGCAAGCTGTAGTTAACCTGCATGTTCAGGTGTTTCGTCCTCAGCCTTGGAGGAGACACAGAGATCTCAGCTGTTGTGTTTCTGAGGCAGGAGCACTGCAGCCCAGCGCAGCCATTGAGAAGGGAGCTTTACTTGCTTTTGTACTTAGAATTGGCTCCATCTAGTGATCTTCTGGAGAAGCCTTTGTGTGCGGGCTCTGTGCTGTGGGTGGAGTAGCCGTTTGTATGTCGGGAGCAGAAACACAACGCTGACTTACAGCGGAAACATCGCATGGGAAGGGGGGCTCGGTCAGCAGTTCGGTATCTGTGCTCCGTGGAAGCAGTGTAGGTGTTCATACCAGTGCAGACCCTACGTTGCTCAGTATGCATTGCATTCCGATGCAGTGGTTTCCCCCTGCAGTCACTAGATCCATGCTGCTCTTCCCGCGAGTCCTGAAAGATGACCATTAAATTGAAGTAGCTGGTGGGTGTGAGTATTAATGTAAGGAGCTTTCATTTTCACTGGAAACTTTTCTAGGGGCCCAGCCCAAACCAGTATTCAGGCTAATGCCTGGGTTATTTATCGACAGAATTAGTGATGGGGGTTTAAGTCAGGAGCGTTCAGTAATACTTCATCACTCTGCCTAACCGTTTTGCCCCTCATTGGCATTCCTCACGCACTGGTAATGCCCTAAGTAGGAAACAGAACGGTGTGCCTGCTTTGCCCATGCCCCACTGTTAGTGCCATTGATTACCTGTGCACAGCCAATATAAATTGCTGCCATTTCAACAAATTGGTTGTTTAAACCCAGTTTATACTGGTCTAAATGGCTCTTCAGGGTTCAGTGTTGAAGAATTAGAAGACGGCAGAGGCAGTAACAAGAAATCCCGTTGAGTGATAGGCTTTATTGTGAAAGGCATCAAAGAAAGCCCAGGATAGAGTCAGGGAGGTAGGAAAATCCAGAAATCGAGAGCCAGGCAGTCCCTTCGGAAGTTCACCAACACAACAGCACCATCTACTGATGAATGTGTGTTTGAGAAGGCAGGCGGCCAGAGTCGCCTTCCCACTGCGGGCAGGTCACGCTGCTTCAGCTGCACGTTTCTGTAACCGTGTTAGAGTTGGTGAAGAAGAAAAATAACATCCAAAATCGTAACTCTCGAGAGTTGTCTCGAGGACTAGATTTGCCTTTCTTATAAGCTTGTATATGAAAGAGTGAAAGTTGCCCCTCTGGCTGCTGTGTGGCCATAAGCCATCTCTGACCCTCACCAGTGTGGTGATGTAAGGAGTAGCATGCGACCCAACACACATTACAGCAATAAGCATCTGTCCTTGTTTAGATGGACCATCTGGTTGTTGAGTAGGGCACAGCAATTTCTGTAATCAAGACACACGGGTGATGGACTTACTGTTGTGGTTTTGATTTCCCAGCCTGGTGTGGAGTAATGGACAGGTCTCCAGCGTGTGGGTGAGCTGTGCCATGGAGGCGGCCGCATCTGAGCTGGTTCCATGGGAAGTGTGGGACAGCAATGGGCTTCGTTTCAGACTACAGACACCTTGGTGTTCCTGTAAGGACCTCACTGTATTCATTGTCCCTAGGCTTGCTGGCATGTGGTGGCCTAGAAGATGATTGCAGTCCCTAACAGATGCTTCTATGTTAGAGACTTTTCTGCCTGTATTAAATGGTGTGTTTCTGCAAAAACTGCATTCCTGAGAGGCCTGAAAGGCCACGCAGGACTATCAGACACTGTTGTCATACCACTAGCTGCAGGATATTTTTCAAATGAGAGATCAATTTCTTGTGTTCCACTGCAGCACAAAATTAAGCAGCATCTTCTGTAGATAGATTGGAAAACTTCTGATCTTTTGATTTATGATACTTTTATGAAAACCCCTGCTGTTTTATTTTTCTCTCTCTCTGCTGAAATGGAAATGTCCAACCCCCTCAGGAAATGCCTGACTCCCTCTGTACATAAGCCTTGTCCCAGAGCTCCTTCTGTTCTGGGGTCCCTGAGCAGCAACTCTTAGTAGAGGAGCAGGGATTGGAGCCTCCCAAAACATTTGTGATAAGCAAGACAAGGTATCTGCAATAAGTTGTCTGAGTCCAGGATTATAAAAGCAACTGTTCTAGCCTCACCTGTATTTCTGTGGGAAAACGCCTGGTGAGTATGTGGGGATTACAGGGAGGAAGTGATTTTGAGGAACTGAGGTATCAGGACATGCTCTCCAGATAGTGAGACTGATGCTCTTGAGACTTCCCTTTCCTTCACTGGCAGCTGGTTCATAGCCACAATTTGTAATTCCTCCTAGAAGCCATGTTATAATCCCAGGTCAGGGCAGAGGATTTGAGAATAAAAAAGAGGTAGTTCTAGTTTGGTGATCACAAAGCATGACGTAAACATCACTGACTATGAAAGAACTTTATAAGCTGGTGTTACCTCAGCTATGGAGAGAAAAGAGGTTGCTCTGTTTGCTGTTGAGCTTTCCCAGTTGTTTGCATGATAGAAACTGTTTCAATTTGTGGCCTGTTGTTGAGCTTTTCTCTCTCCCCCCCCCCCCCCCCCCTTCTTTCTTGACTTTGTAAGTCTGAGGCAGACATCTCCAGAGCAGAACTGCAAGGCAGGAGAAAAACATGTACATAGTCTCTCTTAAGACCACCATGTACATGACAGACTACACTGAAGATCCTACAAGAAGCTTTTCTTCTCCCTCATATCACAATATTGTTCTGTAAAGCTGCCCTTCCTTTCTTTTAGTGTCACAGACGCAGTCTGAAGAACTTCCTGAGAGATTTGATAAGCTTTGTCTGACTGCAGCCTCCCAGTCAGACAAAGCTGTGTCCTCACTTTAACCTGACAATACAAAGGACTTTCTCTTTGGTGACATCTATATAACACATCCCAGAGAGTGGATTTCTCATAACGCCAGAAAAATATAAATAGCTATTACTCAGAGGAAGGAGTGTTTCAGAAAACAAGTCACAATATTTTCAGCTGATGGTGATAATTTGTTATTATAGCTGATATTGATCTCCACAAGACGCTGCTATCAAAGGACTGACCTCCATGCAAATCAGTTCTGTATGTAAACTTAGGTAACTGTAGCTTTCCAGTATTACTTTTCCAAAATAGGCTATCCCTTAAAGAATTTGATGACATCAGCTTTCTTAGCTCTCCAGATGACAGCAAACTCAGGTATTTCATTTCATTTTTGCTAAGAAACATGATATTTGAAAGTCTGAAATGTCTCTGAAACCAGATATTGCTGTTGTTGAATTGCTACAGCATGTTCAAAAGGCAGTGACAATAGCCAGTGGGATAGCCAAAATTAACCTGCTGTATTTCAACAGTAGTGCTTTCTGTGTGTAAACCAAGTATCTGTGATTTCCAGTACATTATAAGCTTGGACAGGGGAGATTTAGATTCAATATAAGGAAGTTCTTTACTGTGAGGGTGCTGAGGCACTGGCTTAGGTTGCCCAAAGATGTTGTGGCTGCCCCATCCCTGGCAGTGTTCAAGGCCAGGTTAGATGGGGCTTGGAGCAACCTGCTCTAGTGGAAGGTGTCCCTGCCTGTGGCAGGGGGTTGGAACTGAATGAGCTTTAAGGTCTTTGCCACCCCAAACCAGTCTTTGATTCGATGAAGTAAGGAACAAAGTGCTGGCTGTAGTACAATGCTGCACTTGATTAACACACTAGCTTAGGGAAAAGGGGCTGCTTCCTCAAATCTTGTTCCAAGATTAGGGTCTTATTGTTTGGCTATTTTCTCCTATGAGCTACTCTTCTAGTTTGGGGCAAGGCAGGCACAGCTGAGCTACTAAATTCACTCTTGAAATAAGTTATTTTGTGTTGTTGCTGGTGGGAATTTTTGGTAAAACCAGGATTAATATTTAATTTACCAGTTTAGGGATTTTTGTGAGGATGAAAGAACTTTTGACACAGTGGGCTGTTACCCTGTAATAGTACTGTGCTTGGGTTCTTTTAAGCTTCAAAAAGCAAACATCGGTGAATAAATAAAAAGCCTCTTTTCAATGAAAAAAGTCCCCTGGCTCAGTCAGCTGCAGTGGGCCTGTCAGCATGGCCTCCATCAGTATGTCCAAAGGATGCTAACACAGCTTAACCTGCCATAAGCACGAGAGAAGCTGCAGGATTCACAGGTGTAAGTTTTTAATCTTATGAGATGTAATTCCTGGGGAGATGTAAAGGTGGCATTTAAAGCAGACATTGTGGGCAACGCTCCCGGAGCCAGACCAGGGGGCAGCTGCGGCCACTTTGCTTGCCTTTAGGATGCCAGAGGTGTTGGGGTGAAGTGGTTAACCCAGATGTTAACTCTAAGCTGTGTGCCTGGACCCAGAACGCTTGGCCCTTCCCAGGGCTTGTTAGGAATTATAAAACTTTAAGCAGCTCAAGAGTAGGACATTGCACAAAGGAATGTTCTTGGCTCTGTGCAAACTGCGTGTGGATTGCAAAGGCCAGGATTTATGAGTGTGGGAAGTTCAGAGCAGGTACCTGGCACAGGTCTGCAGGTCCAGTCCCCTAAGATGCCACACCAGGTCACTGTAGCAGTCATTTCACTGGTGCAGCACCCAAACCGGGCTGCCTTGGGGCTGCCCAGCATAGTCAGAGTAACTCTGAATAGCCAGTAGCAGCTGAGCATGATCAGGGGAGATGTCCGGTGGCAGAGATTCTGAAGTTAGCACAAGAGCAGGGGATGGTTTTGGCTGTTACAGTATCAGGTTGCATCTTGTCACTTGTGAAAACACTCTGTTAAAAAGACTTTTGATATTGAGAAAAACTGTCAGTCAGCAGTTTTAGAGGTTTTCTGCACATGATATTTGTGTTTTGCCTGGGGTAGAGGTATGTCTTGTGCTTGGACAGCCTATCCAAGACAAAAAATGCACACAGAAAGCAAGGGAATATATTTGCTCTTTGTTCCTCAGCTGTGGTTATCCTGGTGTACAGTGAGGCTGTTTGATCCTTGGGCTGGTGCTGGGAAGGCTTTTTCAGAGTTTATGGTGGGTGAAATTAGCAGAGGGTTGCTGTAAGGCCTTATTAACCATGATTCACACTGGAATTTTAAGGTCTTTGCCCTGATTAAATTATTACTGGTTCCTGGTAAAACAGTGAACTTTGTTAAGAGCATATACAGACAATACTGAGCAGTGTACCCAGACAAGCACAGCTTTCAGTAAGGTACCGTTTCCAGCAGTGACTTGAAAAATGTGTTTTGTATCCTACCAGTTGAACTCTTCTCAGTGGGAGACTGTTTGTAACAGAGACACGTAGAACCAAGTATTTTCACATGGAAGAATCCTGCCTTTATTCCCTCATCTTTCCTGCTTTCTTTCTAGGCAAAGCTAATTTTGTAGGAACTCATTCTTGTAATAGTTAGAGTCATAATTTCTTAATGAAATTCCTTGCTTCTGACACACTCTGTAAAAAATAGCAACCCCTTGGGTAGACATGTGTTTGGAATTTTTCGCAGTGTTTAATATTTCCCAGAATGGGACCATGAATTACCTTCTGCTAAACTCCAGTGTGCTGGTCATTGTAACTTCTGCTTGCTTTGGTCAGCCATAGACTTCTGTGTAAGAGTTAGAGGGGAAGATCAGAAGTGGGGTGGGCATGGGACCTTACACATCAGTGTGAGTGAGTATTTCTCAAATTATAGAATACAGAAGAGATCTGGGAGATTGAGAAGTTTTCTGAAGGGTCTGGCCCCTGGTGACTGAGAGCTGGCTACAGGACTATAGTTACCTCCTGCAAAGAGAAGGGAATTACCATCCAGGACAAATAAACCAGCCGGTACAGACAGAAGCCGTGGGAAGGGAAATAAGAGCAAGCTGCTGACTGCAGAACAGTGCTACTGAAGGTTTGCAGCCTGGGAGCTTACAGTTACGTATACATTTCCCTGAGATGTCACAGTGGGAGGTGGTGCAAAGCCTAAGAAGGCTGGAAGCCAAACCTGAGAAGGAAAGGCTGGAAATAGCTGGTTTCCTCTGGGATTTGATTAGCCCAGAATAGGTGAACAGAAGTAGGGGACCAGGCTCTCCAGTAGCTGAACTGCTGAACGCCTGGGAGGGAAACCTGAGGCAGAATAGCGGTAGCATCCTATCACGTGGCAATATGCTGCAGAGCTGCATCCTGCTAAGTTGAACTAGTTTTTATTCCTTGGAGAAAGGACTCATTAGCCCTTTTAATTATTTCCCTAACCGTCAGAACTCCAGATGCCGTTATGTTATGTAAAACGACGAATGTATTTTTAACTTGTAAAGCATGTGAACTTTAAGCTCTATCCAGTGATACAAACACAGCTCCATTTCAACACATGACTCATCTTCACATGGAGGAAAAACTCAGCGCTTCACATCCCTGTAACTGCACCCTGTGCACCAGTGAGGAGCGACAGTTGCTGTGGGAACCATCACTTTCAATATCCTGACTATGCATACTGAAGCTCCCAAGGAATACCGACTGCTTATTTGGCAGAAAAGGTCGCCTTTAATAACAGCACCGGCTGTTTCGGTAGCCACAGCGCATGAAGGATCATAGTGTGTCCAGTATCGACTCTCTGGGCTTTGCTCCATAGCAACAGCCTCACCGTTTGACACAGGTTTCAGAGGGAACGTGTCGGCCCTTTCCCGTTCCTAAAAGGATGGCGCGGGGACGGGGCCGGCGCTGCTCCCGACCTGGCCTGGCCTGGCCTTGCCTTGCCTTGCCTTGCCTGGCGTCGCCTCCCTCCCTGCCACCGCGCGGGCGCGCTGCGGCACAAACCCGGGGCCGCCGAGGCAGCTCCGTCCCCGGCCGCTTCCCCCGGTAAATGAGCGACGTGGCCGGTGCCTTAAAACCACCACGTTCCCCACTACCCGCTCGTCCGTCCCCGGGCACCGCCCGTCCTGCCCCACGCAGCCGCAGGGACGAGGCAGCTCCGCCCGGGGCCTCGCGCTCCCCCCGCCTCAGCCCACAGGGGCCCGGTCCGGCCCGGCCCGAACCCGAAGGAGCCGCCGGCTTCCCTCGGGATGGGACCGATCCTGCCGGGGCCCCGCCGCAGGCAGGCTCCCCTTAGCGCAGGGGGGAGGCGGCGCGCACCTGCCCAGGGCGCCGGGGCGGGCCCAGGCAAACCCCGCCCTCCGGGACTCCGCACCGGGAAGCCTCGGCTGGGGCCGCGCCGCGCCGCCACAGGCAGGTAACCGTGCTCCGGCGGGCCCAGCGCTGGCCCCCCCCGTTACCACCCCGGCCGTCCCCCTCCGCCGCCTCCCCCCTGCGCGCCGCGGGGCCCGCCTCGCCTCGCCTCACCTCACCTCAGGGTTTCCCGCCCTCCTCTGCCGCGCCAAGAGGGGGCTGAGGGAGCCGCCTCGCTGGAGTTGCTGCTCCCCAGTCCGGGGCTGCGGTGTGCGGGGCGGGCCTCGGGCTCCTCGGCGTGAGCAGTGGCCTCGGGCTCCCCGTGCTGCCTCGCCTGCTCGTGGTTCAGCCCTCTTATCGGGGCTCGGAGGCCCTGGCAGCGGTTCCTCCCCCGGGGCTGCAGTCCGGAGAGGTCAGGGCCTGCTGGTCCCCAGCGGTGTCCGGCAGCTCCTCGCCTCTGGGAGCCATGCCGCTCTATTTCCACATACCCGAGTTCCTTGGGTGGTTTGATGGTCCCGTCAGTAATGCAGCACCTGCCCCACGCTCTATGGAGCGGGGAGATTTGGTAAGTGCTGGCCCAGCATCAGGCCTGATACCTGTCCAGGCAGTGCCCTTCTTGGGCTTAACCCAGGTATTTGTGGTTCTCTTGTGTAACTCGGATGAGGCAGGGGACTGTTGTGGAGGTTTCTCCCTAAAATGCTGAGGCAACAAGTTGTTGGTGCAGGTTTATAACTTCGTTGAATCAGGGGTTATCTCTGTTGTGTTTTACACAGCTTAGCTGAGACCTTAGTTCACCACTCAGCATAGACACTTGTTGCAGTAAAAGAAGTAATGTATAACTTCAGACTAAGATACATATACATGTGTGTGTGAGTATTGGAATGAGGGTGACTGGTCTGTAAAACTAAACCAAGTATGCTTTCCTGAGGTGAACCTCCATTTCTGGTCTCTAGAGCCTGGTCATCTTGTTAAGAGAGGGAGAGAGAAAAGCAGTTGAGTGCAAGAATGATCAGTTGACATCAGTTGCTAATACCCATTTACATTTTCACTCAGGACTAAATGGCCAGCAGATGGACTGTTTGAAGCACTTGGTTTGACCAGCTGAGAGGAGGGACTTTGCTGAGGATACCCTACAGGGAATCTGTTGGGTATTGCTGCCATCTCAGACTCTTCCCTGATATGGAACAAAGTGAAGGTGAACAGGAATCGCAGCCAGAGAGTCATGCGGATAGCAAGAGCAGCGTGAAAGCCTTGCCTGGGGGAGAGGCCCATGTCAAGCTAGAGATAAAGAAACATGCAGTTACAGATGACTACAAACTCTCCAAACGGGTGCTAGGGTTAGGAATCAATGGCAAGGTACTGGAGTGTTTCAACAAGGAGACAGGCCAGAAATGTGCTTTGAAGGTATGTAGGCTTTTTCTTTATTTCTTTATTTCCAGTTTGGAGGCCAGAGTTCATTCCCAAGGCCCTGTAAAAGCTACTTGTTCTGTTGCTTCCTTTTCACAGAGCGCTGCTTGAAGGATTTGACCATGTGGAGACGTTTGCCATTACTTATAGGGCTGTAATGCATACTTGAGTCTTTTCCAGAATTTTCTGTGTGAGTTTCCAGAAGAATGTTATCAGCTGTGAATTTCTCGTGTTCATATTTATGAGACAAAAAAAGCGGAGGAGAGAGCAGTGTCGTGTGTTCTGTGAGAAAACTTGCTACATTTTGAATGAACATATTATGCAATACTTGGGAAGGAAACTATTTTGGATCTTGCGCAATGAAATAGCCCTAAATGGGGAAGTGTTTAAATGCTCATTTGTCTTCAGGCTTTCCTCCCTTTGAAGACTTTTCTTAAGGGGCATTTCTAGTTGTTTACTTGCTTATTCTCCGCTTTATTATTGTGATCCCTTTGCAGAAGGCTATTACCTGGCAAAGCACTGATTACACCAATATGCCAAGGAAGTTTAGTAGATATCTATGGTGATAAGTGTCACTTAAATAAATGGGGCAATAACCATTCTGTAGAGAACATAAAGCTTACCTGCCTTTTGCTCTGTGGCTTTTAAATTTGAAGACTTCTCTGATGCCTTTAAACCATATCATTAGGAAAAAAGCAGCCCAGTTGTGGACCAGGGTGGTTCTGTATGGTGAGACTAAAAAACAGCTGAAGTAATTGTCATGGGAATTCCTTAAGAAAGCTACCAAGTCCTTGCTGGTGTTAACCTGATTAATTGGGATGTTCAGAAGGCTTTTGGATACCCTTCATTTTGTTAAACCTCACAGTCTGTGCTTGCTGACAGCAGAACAAATCTGTTGGTGGTCACGTAAGAGGTCTGTCAGGGTCTGGGTAGAGTCTTATCTTTACTAAGCTACGACTATCCCCAGCAAAGCCCTTGAACTGTGATGGAGCAAACTGGAAATACCTGGTAGCTTTGTGTATTGAATAGGTTTTTAACAGAGAACTAGGAAAGCTTATAATATGGTAACATGCTGATTAATTCACATGTTTCCAGCACTCATTTTCTTTATGACACTGGTTTTTGTATTGGCATCACGTAGCTGACTCAGTTTGTCATGGGGATACTGGAGATTTTGGTAAACAGACTGGAACCACTGGGGTTTTGCGCCTGCTTGGGGGAATGTCAGGTTTTTACAACTCTGAGGTAATCCGTTAATCAGATCTGTCTGAAGTGCTATCAACATTAATTTCTCTACTTGGCATACTGTGATGAAGGATAATAGCTAATACTGAAGCCATTCTCCTGTTTTGAAGAGTTCAGTGGGTTTGTTGCTAATTATAGACCATTCATACTTCAAAAGTTTTACAGTCATAAGGGCTGGAAGCATTTTAAAATGGAGTTGCTTCCAGAGCACAATCCAGTGGTAACAAGTGTGTTCCGGAGCAAATTCTGTAACTCTGAGATCAAATAGGAAATAAATCCCTATGGATGGTAGCATCTACTTAATTAGTCTCTTAGAGTTGGGTGGGGAGGATAAGAGGACTAATGTTGCTGTGCCCTGAGAGTGTCCTATGCTGGTGGAGAGGAGGAACCTACAGCAGATCCTCTTAATACTAGCTTCTGTTCAGCATTGGTTGAGTTGGCTGGCTCTTCTCAGAACTTTTAATATATATAAAGGACCAAAGTACCCCCCTGTTCGCAAACTGGAGTTTTGTTAGGAGTGGCGAATGTATCACTAAATTGTTATATATATGTGTTTGTCATCTTCACCGGTCCAGCTCTGGAATGTCTGCACTTTTCTTCTGAAAGGGACAGAAATGCTGAGATTTTGTGAGTTCTTGAGGGAGTTTAAATGGCAGATAATAGTTTGCTGCTTGCATGTATGTGTTTCTCATCATTATGTGTTCAAGATCTGAATAAAAAGTTAAATATGCAATTAAGTAAAACTGCCAGCAGCCCAGAGAGAATCCACTATTCTCTCCAAAGATGATCTAATGAGAAGATTACCCAACAAGGAAGGATAAAAACTGTGCTTGGTTAATTGGCAAGAATAGAAAGATCTTTTCCTAGCCCTGGAGATATTTGCAGGGATGAGAATATTCAGAGGGATTTTTTCTGCTGTTTCTTGTAAAACCTGAACTGTGCCACACTGATCCCAGACCTGCTCCAGATGAGATTTCAGAGCAAACCATCCAGTCAAACCTGCTCCAGATGAGATTTCAGAGCAAATCATCCAGCCAAAACAGTTATGGAAGAGGGACAAGAAAATTAGGAATGTTGAGAAACAGCCTCAGTGCAGAATCCTTTGTGGAGGGACAGTAGGGCCTTGGCATTTCTTCTGCCTTGCCGCTGCTCATACTTCCTAGGTGTAATGGCAGGGTTGTCGTTAACTTACAGGAGTAGAAAGTGGAGGCTGATGAAGCTGTCGCAGGAAGAAAACAGCTGGCATGACAGGTAAAGAGAAAAAGGGGAGCTGGATGGAATTTTATTCTCTGAAGGCTGCTTGTGCAGAAACTGTTGATATCTATGTATATTTGTGGGCAAATACTTCAGGCATGAGCGTGCTCACTGTAACCTACTCCTGGGAAAGGAAAAACATCACTCCTGCTGCTGAAGATAAAGCATAATAGTTTGTTCCCCTTCACACCACACTTGTCCATTAAAGCAGCTTCTGACTTGGCAGATGGCATTGCTTTCTGCCTGCAGGTTTTCTTTTATATGGGAACAAACACAACACAGCCAGGATCTGGATGGAAATTACTCAATGGAAGGAATTTTAACTGAGGTACTCGAGAGGAAAGAGCTCCAACAGGCAGAAACATTCATCCCCAGAGCCAGGTGTCAGTCAAGCACTACATACTGGAATTGGGAGGTCCCTGTCATCTTCTTTAGCCTGTGTCCATAATTGGGCCTAGTTAGAATGTCACTAATCATTTTAGAGTGGGAAAATACAAGACATCCTCTCAGAGTTACTGCAGGGTTTTGTCATTCCCCCGCCCGCCAAAAGTATTACATGGCTCGGTTTACTCTGCTTGGCATTGTGATTTGCCACACGCATTTCCAGTGTGCTTTCAGCTTTGTTTCCTTAGATTGAAATGCCACACGCATTGCTGTCCTGCTCCAGAAAATCTCATCTGGGTGCTCACTTAGATTCATAATGGCATTTTGTGAGAGCATGAGGATTCAGAAAAGTAGCAGCATAAACAAAACTGCTGTGCAGGGCTGGCCTTCTAGAAGGCAGCTATGTGTTGGTCTCTCTTTCTCTTACAAATAGAAAACCTTCTCAGAGCTCTCCCCATAGTTGATCCAGAAATAGCAGTCAAGTGAAGTCTAGTCACACTTCTAATTTTATCTCTTCTTTGCCAGCCTGCCCCCTTCTGTTCACTTTACCTTTTGGGGCTAAAATTTAACCTCCACTCCTTTAACACTCTGATCTGCTTGAGTGTTCTCTGCTGCTCTTCACACTTCTCCCTGTTTTTAGGGAGAGGAGGAGACCAAAATAGCTGACTACCTGTGAGGATAAATGTGAACTCTTGGGATTTGCCTCCCATTAAAGAAACCCTAACCTACACTTTCTTGTTCTTTCTTTCTTTTTCCTTTACTTTTTATTTTTGGCACAAATTCCTGCTATGTGGTGTCAAAATAATATTTCAATGACCTACTTAATTTCTGTGAAAGATGATAGAAATAACTCAGAGTGGGATTGAGGAAAGAGAGAGAGTGTTCTGCAGGGGTATAGGGACTTCTCTGCATCTGTAGCTTGAGGACTTTGGTGAATGGTTCAGAATGTCAAAATAGTGTTAAGTGTCATTATTCACCTGCAATAAACAGATGTTGCTGCTTCCCAGGAGAAGAAAAGGAAGGACAATTTGGGCATAGCAGCAAAACAAAGACCCTTGGAACTTCAGGAGACCAGAGTACACTGGTTATGAGCGTATTGGTACTTTTGGTATGGAAACTCTCCTGAATAACAGTGTAGCAGTTGTGAAGTACTTCTCCCCTAAGCCCTGTGCCTGTACTGCAGCTGCCTTCCAGGCGTCTGAGACTTCTAGCTTAAGGTGGAGTATATATGAATGGACCTGCTAGTTCATAGAATTGCAGAATCATTTAGGTTGGAAAAGACCTTTAAGACCACGAAGTCCGACCGTTAGCCCAGCACTGCCAAACCCACTACAAAACCATGTCCTTAAGTGAACATCTACGCATAGGCCTTATCCTGTAGAACAAGCAGTGAGTTGAGCAATGACCTGCCTCATGGAAAATGTCCTGTGCTGCTAAGTGCCAACAGTACAGTGTATGTGACTGCTGATTTGAAGACAAATAGGTGAAGCCCAAATGTTAAGTAAAGCAAAAAGCAAACACAAAAATTAGTAGGCTCTTTGCCTTTTAGATTTAACATTAGTGAATTTGATTGAACATTTGATGAATGATACAAATTCTGATCATGGAGTAGGAGGCTCTACTGTTATTCATAAGAGTATTAGCATAGCTTTGTGATTAGAAGGAAGGGAAACAGGTAATGGAGAAAGAAATTTTGCAGAAGGAAGTCCTGAAATGACTTGGAAGGCACACAGAGGATTATATAGAGAATGTTGTTCTGCTTTCCAAGTGGAATAACTGTGAAGAAAGGCAGTCATTCTGCATCACCTCAATTTCATTTAGTCTAGAGCTACATTTCTGCATTTCACTCAACTTTAATGTTTCTGGTTGCATTAAGTAATACTACATCACTATAAGCTAATTACTGGATAGTCTGTTTTCCGTTAGTATACCCTGAAGTCAGGTCATGGTTGCTCACAACTAGAAGACTGTACAGGTTGAAGTATTTGTTTTGTAAGTTACTTAAATAGCTGTTACTTGTAAAATACCCTGTTTATTGCCTGAAATAAGATGATGTTTAAGGAAAACAAGGAAGCAATGGAGAACACAATGCATACAGTGAAAACAAAGTTATT